TAAAAATCGCCTGTGTTCAAGTTTATTTGTGCAGTTGTAGAAAAGTGAAAAAGGAGAGTATAAATGAAAATTATGAGCCTGAATAAAAACTAAATGTTAGCATTGCTGCTGGGATTCAGCTGGTTCTTATTAATCAGGGTTTGGAAAAGAATCAGGATTTCTATTCCCTTCTGAATAGCTGGAATAAGATCACTAGTTGGAAAGGTTTACTAGCCCTAAAGATATTGTATTTTTCTGTCTTAACTACTCTTGGCTGTAAGAGGGGATGTAACATCACAGTCTGACTGCCCTCATACTTTCTGTTCCCAGATAAATTCCAGATTGATTTTGGTAGTGTTGTGAATTCTGAAATTCCAGTTCTTTCATTCCTGGTAATTTTGTATTGGAAAACTCGGGGCCAAGTATAGCAAGGCAGCTATTCCCAAATTTAAATGCAATTGGGAAAGGCGTAGAGGGGAGAAGGGCAGGCCATGCTCCAGCCTCAGGAAGGTGTTTGGACTCACTTTTCCAAGCAGCAATAGGGAATGAGTCCTGCTGTGTTTGGACAGGATTGTAGGATGGAGGCATTCAGCTTTATATGGATGGATTTATCCCATTTATCCTGCAGTAGTTTTCCTGTCAGTTAGTGCCTGAGATCTTTAGTCACTCCTTGGTGCCTATGAATTAGGATATATGAAACCCTGGAGTCTTATAAAATATACATATTCCACTCCAAGGCCTTATGGAAAGTTCCAAAGCCATCATCATATGTCAATCATTGATTTTAGGATTTGCTGTCTGAATGATAATATAGGGATGATATACAGCCCTGGTATGCTCCAGTAACTTACATCTAGCCAGGATTTTTATTTCTAGCTCATTTAATTTACCAGCTTTATCCCATTGAGGTCATTGACTTCAGGAGAATCACATTCACATGCTCCTCCAAAAGCTGTTTCCTGTCCTTTATTTTCAGATTTGTCACTAGTTTTGTAAGTGATGTGTTTTCCTTCACTTTATTTAAAGAGAATTTTATCTTGACAATTTCTTTATCTTTTATTTAACAACTGTCAGTTTGGTTTTGTTATCTGCAGCAGGATAAAGCTTTCTGCTCTATCAGGGTGGCTCTGTGCATGTTTAACACTCACTAACAGCCAATCTGTCACAGCAAGGGCTGCATCCTGTCACAAGCCTTTACTGGTATGGCCACCCTGACCTAAGATCATGGGGCTTTTCCTAAAGGAATCACATTTTAGATGACTGTTGATGCCTCTGAATTCCCATGAGCATGTTCTACAAGCGAGAGTATCATGATGCCAAACACTGTAAAACAAATTTGGGAAGCAAAACAAATGATTATATTCTTAGAAGTTTTGGTTTAAAACACTCAGAAGTTTTAAAGTGAGCCTTCTAAAGGTGAGCTGTGCCTGTCCCGTGTCACCAGACCTGTCACCTCCTGTCAGGAACCTTCAGCTGTGGCTCCAGGCTGGAGGTCTCCTGACAGGTGGCCTCACTCAGCACCAAATGCTCTGAGGGAATGGCAATGAAGGCGATTTCACCATTTTTTATTAAAAATTATTTTCCTCTCCTTGGACTTCTTGACAGAGACACCAGCAAGTGAAATATCGATGTACTGGTTCAGGATGAAAGAAGGGATAAAATTAGGCCCTTGCAAATAAGCTACTTCCATTACTTATACCCCAATAAATATAGAGTAAACCTTAAAAAATGTTGAATTTGGTGCATCCCCACCCTGCAGAACCATAGCATGGTTTGGGTTGGAAGGAACCTCAAGGATGATCTGACTGCACTCCTTGCCAGGGGCAGGGAATGTTCTACTATCCCGGATTGCTCCAAGCCCACCCAACCTGGCCTCGAGCACCTCCAGGGATGGGTCAAGACTCAAGGTGCAATTCCCCCTTAAGCACCCCAAATTACAAGAGGCTCAGTGGGATGTGAACCATCCTTATCCTGTCATTATCCTTAGCTGGGCTAAGGCTGAGTCAGAGCTCTGGGGGCAGGTGCAGGGTGCACATCCTGATGACGAGGAAGATCACGGTGACACGATACTCCCTGCTGCAGGGCAGCATTTTTCTCAGTCGACTGCTCTCCCTAGAAATCCTCAAAGAAACATTCCAGTGCCGGAGGCATTCAGAAAAAAGGAAAATAAAAAAAAAAAAAGGAAGTGTATGAGACAAAGGTAGCTTCCAGCTGGCTCTCCAGCACCCATAAACCTCTTATTTACAGGCTGAGTCACTGAAGATATAATGGAGGAATGAAACGTTGGGTCCTTTATAGATTCCCATTTTCTTGCTCATCAGCTAAGATCAAGGGAAAGCTGTGCCTCTGACACTGCCCTTAGTCAGTCTTCAGGATTCCCTTCAAGGCCTCCCAGGGCTCAGAAATCTTTTCCCTGAGTTGCTGCTGCTAAATTTTAATTCATATAACTCATGTACCTGTGAAAATGTTTCCATGAGAGATGTGCCAGAGGCTCCTTCTCTTTACCAGCAACTTCAGCAGCAACTGCCTCCCTCCTCTCTCACTACCAGAAGCAATGAGACAAATCTAATTCACTACTTGTTGCTTATTTTGGTGACCTCCACGATCCTATTTGCTGCACTGACAGCCAAGCAGTTCTGTTTATTTTTTGCACATCCCTAAAATACGCCAACAACTTCAAGAATGACAGAAAACAACATTCCAAATTGTATCATGCCTTAGATTACAACATTCTATGCTTATGTTTATTGACTATGTTTATTTTTATTTAGAAAATAATTTACTTGCTGTGTTTGACTGAGTCAAATGAGCATTAATTTATCTTTTCTCTGTGTAGGAGCTGCTTTAATGGCATCTCGTCAATGTGCAGTGAGAAGGCTGCACTGACTGCTGTTCTTATTGGAAGCAATTAATTTAGTACATTCATTAACTTTTCATTCCTGATAACTTTCCAGGCAACATACCCTGTTTGCCCTAAACCAGGACATCCATTTTTCCTCAGATTCAGTGGGTAACTTTAATAAAAAGGGAATTCCCTAAACATGCTTCGTTTGGCACTTGTTGCAGTTACAGGTCCTGCAAGCAAAGAGCTTTTGAAGACACAGAGCCATTTGCTTTTTGGTGTGATCCATTTCCCCACCCTCCAGAATTATGGAATCATGGAATCCCAGAGTGGTTTAGGTTGAAAGGGACTTTAACACTCATCCTGTTCCACCCCCTGCCATGGCAGGGGCACCTTCCACCATCTCAGGTTGCTCCAGGTCCCATCCAACCTGGCCTTGGACACTGTCAGGGATCCAGGGGCAGCCACAGCTTCTCTGGGCACCCTGTGCCCAAACCCATCTGGGACTGTTTAATTCTACTCTACATCTGCTGAGACTAAGAAATGAGACTGAAGCCAGTTTTTTTTACCCACCAGGTCTGTCATCCTGTAGGCATGTAAATCCTGAAGAAAGACTCACTTCAGTAGGATATTTTATGAATGTCTGGGAGTGGTGGAACAGAGGAATAGTCTATGGATGCTGAATAACACTGCATCATTTACTGGATTCCACCACAGCCAGGAATCCGGGAAAAAGACAGTAAAAGAACTTTTAAAAAAAAGTCTTGCTGAAAATAAATGCTTTTGTGGTTAAAAATCAGCCAGTTGGAACTGAAACAGTGTTTTCTTAGGGTGGCAGAACAGTTGGAAAAGTTGTTGGATTATTTTTGGCAGCGGCCAGAACACCATGGCTCTATCATTACTGGTATTCAGATATCCAAAGTTCACTGAAAGGGTTATTACTTCACTAGTGCATTCCTGCAAAAATACAGCATACTCCATCTGCAGCATGAAGCTCTGGATTCTGGAACTCTGTGTGACCTTTCTGACATGCTGATATGAGCGTGACCAGCTCAGCTCCCAAATACTGCAACACCCAGGGGGAACCTGAGCCACGGCCCCAAAGGCAGGGTGGCCAAACCACTGCACAAGTGTTGCTCAAGGAGCACGCAACCGAGTGACTCCTGTGCCCTGCACTGATGGAAACAGGCTGGGAAGGTTTCAGCTGGAGGTTTAAACATCAAGTAACTTGTACTTGGGTGTTGGTAAGAGCCAAAGCCAGTGGCTGCCTCTGCTGGCAGCCAGTGCTCCTGCAGACAGACGCTGTGCAGGTGGAAAGTTCATGCTTTGGCATTAGCAGCTTGTTCTCCTTAGCAAATGCACTTCAGGCTGAATGCAGCAGGATTTTTGCAGTATGGGAGTACCTTATCCAACCCCTATTTACCTTATACAACCCCTACTTCCCTTATGAAATAGAGCAGATAAGCTATTGAATAAGATTAATAAGATACTATTTCTATCCCTTTCAGTGCCATGAATTTTCAATCAGAAAATGTGTTTTGCTGAGAATGTGTCAGTGTGCTGGATTTAGTTGGTGAAGAAAATAATGGTTTTCCTTTAGCGGGGGTCTACATGACCACTCACAATGTAGTGATTAGGATTGGAGTCACTGCTGCCCTTACAGCAGCAACACAGCAAGCACCTAAGTATGTGCTTTTATATGCCTGCAGGTTTTGTATCTTCAATTCTTCTCAAATATCAGCCACAATCAGATAATTGTCTTCCAATAAATGTCAATCTGTGATTCTCCTCCTGAATTTAACTGAAACCAGATTTGCTTCCCATAACAGATGTTGGGTCTATGGGCCCTGTTTTGTGCCTGGCTGCTGTGCAGTGCCACCAGGTACTGCTGCCCCACTCCTGGATTTGCTGAGCCTGGAAGGTGTCTGAGAGGAGTGGGAAGCAGTGGATCAATAACCGCAGTCCAGTAAAGGTGCTGAGTAAAGGCAGCCCTGTCTTACAAATGTGCTGCTCTGCGAAGTCTGGAACTGCTTTGGACGAGCTTGATGCTGTGACAGGAAAAAGGCACAGCTCAGAAAGCCAAGGGGGTTTGTCCCTGAGCTCCTGCTGCCAAGGGGAGAATGGCACTGAGAAGACTGATTTGCTGGCTAATTATTGACACAAACCCTTCTGCCCCTAGTGACCCACGGCAGCCGCAGCTGGCAGGAGCAGCAGGGCCTCATGGCAAGGTGCAGCCCAGCCCGGCTCAGCTCTGGATGAAGTAAGGACCGTGCTGGGGAAGCAGTTCTTCGTGCAGTCTACTCAGAGGTAAGGCAGCACACCCTCCCACAGTAGCCAGTGGCCAGGCTCCCACACCAGCTGCACCGGAGGGAGGGCTAATGACACCTGCCCAGCACAAGAAGTGGGGTTAGTACAGGTGGTGTGACTTTGGCATTACAATGCCTGCAATGACCTTTGTGGCCAGGGCTCCCATCAGACATCCAGGGACCCCCAGCACTGGAACTGGCAGCTGCACATCCCCTGCAAATTCAGGTGGCTGCACGAGGCATCCACTGCAAACATCTCCAGAGAGCACCATCAGAGGCTCTGATACCTAATTATGTGACAAAGTTTGGAGAGAGAATCATAGGATCCCAAAATGGTTTGGGTTGGAAGGAACCTTAAAGCTCATCCTATTCCAACCCCCTGCCATGGGCAGGGACACCCCAAACTCCCCAAAATAGCCAGTAAAATACACTTTGTGACAGCAAAAGAGTTCACAACCCTCACAGCCCAAAGCACACCTATTATTTAATGTTAACTTCTCTTGCCTGTGTTGTCATTGCGTTCACGTTTTTAAGGTGCCACTTTCTATTCTCCACTAACTCACTGATTGATAAAAATATTCCATTTTGAATCTTCAGAAAAGTTACCACATATTCCAAATACATTCTGTCTGTGTTTGGGCCCCACTCCACATAATGATTTAGTACAAGGAGAGGAAATACAAGGCAATTAAAGAAAAAAGACAAGGAGGCAAGGTCTTTCTGCTTTTGTGTTAATGGCCTTAAAATAAAAATCTTAGCACAGGCAAAATAAGAAACCCAGAGAAGGGAGGTAAATGTAGCTGCATTTTAGAGCAGCAAATCTTGTATAGCACAAAACCAGAACCAGCTCTTTGCTGACATTGAAGCATCTCTTTCCTATAGAAGGAAATAATAAAAAAGGTGTTTATACATAAACACAATACACTGAGGCTGCTATTGGCATGGCTAAATTGTGCCTGGATTTTATTCTGCAAACCTTTTCCATTAACATTTCTGTCAGGAAAGCTGGCTCTTGAGAGATGTAATGAACCATCTGACTTTAATTTGGTTGTAGAACAAGGGGTTACTCTCTGGAGGGTGCACAGCCAAGCCGAGCTACACCCAGCTCTGTTTCCTTATACAGAGGATGACGAGTGCTCCAGCACGAGCAGCACGTGGGAAAACAGCAACCCTCAGCCTTGTTTTAAGCAAATTAAAGTAGCTTTGGAACAGTAAGGATTTGCTCTGTGACAAACATTTGACTCTCCTTGTCATCTTTTTGTCCCAAATGCCTCCAGACCAGCAGTTGCACAGACAAGCGCTCACATGGCTTTTGGCCTTTCTCTTCCTCCCCTCCACTCAGGCTCTACTTCTCCGCCCTCCTCAGACACTACCTTCACTTGGCGTCTCCTGCTGGTTTCCTAAATGTTTGCTAGCCCTGCACAAACCCTGCTGTTTATGTCATTTCAGCTCCTGTCTGAGATAAGACACACAAGGTCCTGTGGGACATCTTAGGGTTGTTCTGCATTTTCCACAGGATTATGCTTTGGCAGAGCACCCTGGTCGAGTCCTTTAGTACTGCTTGGGATTCTAATCTGAGAAAGCTCCACAGAGACGGAGAACTGCAACCATAATTGACCCACACCCAGAAAAAACATTAAGACATTCTGGGAATCACAGTGGAACTGCAGGGCCCGATTCCTCTGGTACAAAACCCTGTTTGTCCAGTGGCTTTGGGGCTCCCTGCCTGCTGGCCGGCCAGGGCAGAGCTTGGGGCCAGCTGAGACATGTCAGGAAAACAAGGCAAAGAGACGGGGAGGAGCCTCACCCGGGCTTTTCTGTTTATACCCTGTCGCAGCTTATTAAGTCCTTACAGAGGAAATACAATGTCTGCCCTTCACTGCAGTTCCAGAGCATTTTTGAATCTCTCATTCCCAACACGTGGCTGAATTAGTCAGCACGTGGTAGTTGCCCAACGAGGTATTGCTGCTGCTGCTCTTCCAGCATGAAATGGGTTTTAGCAAAGGCTTAGACATTTGGCTTGCACTTTTCCACACCCAAACAGATGTGTCTATCCTCTGGATTGAAGGAGGACCAGCACTGGTACTGCCTCTGCTCTGCAGGGACATCTGGGGAGTTCTTGCTTGTGGCATTCTATAAAAAACAGGTGTTTCCCAGTCCAGAATTCCCAGTACTTTGGCCACAGTGGCTTTAGCTCTGCTGTATCTAAGATGGCAAGAGGTAGCTTGGCACCCACAGTGCTCCCATGTTTGCCAATGAATGTGGAAAAATTCCATCTGCCCACGTGAGACAGATACCTGAGTTCTACAAGGAAGGAGCCTAGGCCTCATCTGCCCTAACTCAGAGATGTGGTGTATCCTGAAAGGGCAGGGGGGAGAGCTGGCAGCTGCTGGAGGCTGCTGAGCCAGCCAGCAGTGGGGCCCAGCCACACAGCAGGTGAGTGAGGCTGCCAAGGCTGTGATAATGGCCCAAGGTACTGCCTTGGTGCCCCCACCATAGCCCCAAAGACACCTCTACAGACAAATTTAGGGAATGGACAGCTGTTTTAGCCAAGGGACTGCTTCTACTTTCACTCCTCTGCAGCCAAGAGACCGGCCCTGGCCAAAAAGGTTGCTGCAAAACTCACTAGAGATCTGACTCCTGGGAACATGCTGTTGCCATATGGTCTCCACATTAATAACACCAAACAAGTGCTTCATAAACAGTGCTCTAACAACAAATACCAGAGGAATTAATAATAATCTAGCTATTATTTTCTAATGTTCTCGCTTTATTAAGAACACTGATGCTGTCTGAATGAGCTCTTCCGGAAGAACAACATCTGGCACTCACATGAATACCTGACGAAATCCGTATGATCCCGGGTATCTGATAAATTTATGGCCAGAATGGCAGCAGTTTGTGCCCGCCCGGCTCACAGTTACAACGCCTTTCTCTCCCCTTCTAGCTCATAACATAATGCCCATGCTGTTCTTCACTCTGACTGCAGTAACAGTGTCTTTCTCTCTCCTTCTAGGTCATAACGTAATGCCCATGCTGTTCTACACTCTGACTGTAGCTTTTTTGATCGGCACACAGGCAGCTCCCAAGTCAGAGGACAATGCTCCACTGGAGTTTCCTGCAGAACACTCCCTGCCCAATACCCGGAGCGACCGACACCACATTGCCCAGGCGGCCCCGCAGACATCCCACAGCCACGCCACGTGGAGCCTCAGCAGGAGAGAAGCCGTAAACATCACCGTGGACCCCAAAATTTTTCGGAAGCGGCGTTTCCGGTCTCCCCGGGTGCTGTTCAGCACGCAGCCTCCACCGGCGGCCGGGCAGGGCCGGAATTTGGGATTTCTCAGCGGCATGGGGGCTCCCAACAGGACTGCCAGGAGCAGGAGGAGCACGCACCCCGTGCTGCACCGCGGGGAGTTCTCGGTGTGCGACAGCGTCAGCATGTGGGTCGGGGACAAAACCACAGCCACCGACATCAAGGGCAAGGAGGTGACGGTGTTGGGCGAGGTCAACATCAACAACAACGTCTTTAAGCAGTACTTTTTCGAGACCAAGTGCAGGGACCCCAAGCCGGTGTCGGGCGGGTGCCGCGGCATCGATGCCAAGCACTGGAACTCGTACTGCACCACCACCCACACCTTCGTCAAGGCCCTGACCATGGAGGGCAAGCAGGCGGCCTGGAGGTTCATCCGCATCGACACTGCCTGCGTCTGCGTGCTCAGCAGGAAGGCGGCCAGGCCCTGAGCCCACGCCCTCCGACCCCCCTACCTCAGCCTGTAAATTATTTTAAGTTATAAAGGACTGCATGGTATATTTATAGTTTATACAGTACAGAAAGAACCTCATTATTTATTAAACTCTTTTGGAAACCTTTGGTGTTTTGTAAGTTATTTACTGGCAGAGCTCTTTAAAATGCGTGTTCATTTCGGTTTCATTCACCTCTACAACTCTGGGCTATTGAACAAGCTTTCGGCAAAAAGAAAACATTTTCCACACAGTTTTCACACATACTGCTTTCTTCTACAAGAAAACTTCCCTGCCAGTTTATTGTAGGTTTATTTTCAATTGAAATTTTTTTGTCCAAATGCCAAGAGACCGAAACAGAACTTTCAAAACTTGCTTCCAGTGTTACTAATTATCCATAAAGGTATTAATCATATATAATTAATCATCTTAGTGAATCCTGGTTGAAACACTAGTTCTTCATTGTTGCCAGATCAGTTTCTAAGACCTTTAGTGCATATTTTTAAATTGCCAAAATATTTTCATTGCAAAAATAATCCATTCTGAATTATTTTGGAACATTTGTCTGCACAAGAGTAGAATCTCAAAGCATGTATTTTTGTGTTAAAATGGTATTTTACAGCTCATTACTTCAGAGCTCTATAAGGGTGATGGGATTTCAAATGTCAATATGCTTATATAAATTTAAAAAGTTTGTGTGCTTTATAATCCAAATTTGATAATTTTCTCAAGCCAGTGTTCTGGTAATGGGAACCTGCCATAGGAGCAAGTCTTTTCATGCATGGCAGAATAAAATCAAAAAATAAATATTAAAAAAATCACTGAGTTGTGTTTTAGCAAGGACCCAAAATAACCCTGTGCTCAAGATTTCTGTGTGTTGGGGACATCAACCTCCAGAAATACCCAGTGGAGCCCCAAGCCTGTGCTGGGCGTTTCACTACACTCTCCAAAAGCTACAGATCCTCTCGTTGTTTCCCTTGGAAGAGCAGCTGTTCTCCATTGCAGAAACGGTTTCAAAACAAATACCATCAAGGTTTTTCAGCATGGTCCCTTCCAAATCCTAGAGGGCATAGTCACCCTCGCCTCCCCTCCTGCACAGTTCTTGCTTTAATGCAAAAAGCAGAGCTGGCCTTTGCTTCCTCCACGTAAGCAGCACAGCAGGGCAGCAAATCTCCAGAGGAAACGTGCTGGGGTAAAACAGTGCCAGTGGAATTAACCCAGGCCAGACGAGAGGTGCTTCCTGGTGGGACGGTGCCAGTCTGTGTGACGTGGAGGGCACAGACACCACTGCTGACCATCACTGCTCTGCCAGTTTTCACTCCGCTCTGATTAGTTTTTACTGTGTGAGGTGGCAATGTCCCAGTGACAAAGTATGGCTCTCTCCAGAACAACATATTTGCAATATTTTCGTGAACAATCACTTATCTGAAAGGCTGAGGAGGAGGCAGGCTCTTGGCTGTCCTGATCCTCCAAATAACTTGTTCTGGAGCAGGGGGAGGCAAGGAAGGCTCAGGGTGCTTTGAGTGCATTCACAGAGGTATCGGATGCCTTGACACAGCAGCAGAACACAGGAGCAGGGGCAGCCACGTCCCTGCCACCATCACAGGAGGGATGGAGGGACATCAGCGATCAGTAGTGTTCTGAGGCAGAGTAAAGCATGGAATTGGAGCAGGCTTCCAGCTGTGCTCCTCAGTGGCCTTAAAGCCACAGTAACAAATTGCTGTAGAACTGTTTTCCAGACCTGACACAAAGGGACTAGAGAAGAATGGAGTTGCTGCTCATTCAGGACTCCTAGGTTTATGGAGACTGAGATTATTTTACCACTGACATAAGAGAACTGCAATTGAAAGTGTCTTCTAAATGCTTTTGGTAATTCCAAACATGTGTAAGAGCTGGCATTTCTTCAAAAGCCCTGAAAGTGATGCCTTTCTTCCTCAGGAAAGCTGGAGAGGGACTTTTGACAAGGACATTTGGTGATAGTGGAGGGGATGGCTTTAAACTGAAGGAGGATAGATTTAGGTGGGATATTGGGAAGAAATTCCTCCCTGTGAGGGTGGGGATGCCCTGGCACAGGCTGCCCAGCGCAGCTGTGGCTGCCCCATCCCTGGAAGTGTCCAAGATCAGGTTGGACTGGGCTTGGAGCACCTTGGGACAGTGGAAGGTGTCCCTGCCCATGGCAGGGGGTGGAAGAAAATGATCCTAAAGGTTCCTTCCAGCCCAAACCATTCTGCAATTCCATGATAATTAAAGCAATCTTGGGAGCTGCCATCCCTAATTACAGATCACACCAAGAGGCCATAGAGCAGAGCAGAGGGGAAAATCTGTTTGTTGATGTCACTTTAGGGAAAGAAAAAAACATCTGCAGGATTTAACTGCTCAGCAAGAACTTGTTGGGTTGTGAGTGAGATCTCAGGTGATCAAACGGAACCCACAACTGCAAGAGAAGGGGTGAGGGATGGAAGGACCTGGTAACACCACAGCTCAGCTCACACTGCTGAAATGCTGTCAAAGGCACCCAAATCAGCCTCATCTGCTTTGTTTCTGCTGTGTCCAGGGTGAGACAGGACCATCCATACTCAGAGAAGTTACTTTCACTTGTCAGAGCTGTGTTAGAATCTGTGTGATGAGTCAAGACTGTAGCTCAGCATGGAGAATGGAGCTGATGCCCTGCTCAGCTTTTTGTGTAAGGTGACAATAACTGAAAAATCTGTGAGGAAGGATTTCTACAGACCAAATTTGTTCAACATTAACTGCTCACTCACAGCTCTCTGCATTTCCCAGGAGTTCCTCTGGCGCCCTCAGGTTTTCCATTGCTTTTGGAACAAGTGCTACTCGCTGTGTGCTGAATTCTCTTCTGACTGTCTAAGAAGTCTACCAGTTTTAATTATATGTATAAGCATGATAACCAACTGCTTCTCTAAAGATGGAACATCTTCATTTCTTCTTAAAGCCCTGTTTCTAAATATAAGGATTGAAAACATTTATGGCTAAGAAAAAATAAAGCTACTTCATCTAAAATAAGATCAACTAGAGGGACTGCTATGAAGCAGTTTTATTGAAAGAATTGCATAGTCACTAATTCAAGAATCTGAAATTTTCTTTAGGATCTGAGGACCAAAAAGCTAGATCCTTATATTTAAAAAGCAAATCAGATCAATTTGGTTTCACCTTTAGCCAAATGCCTGACACCCACAATTTCACTCCTGCTCAGCGGGTCTGACTAAGGAGTCAAGGTTAAATTTTGCCTGGAGAAAAACAGATCAATCTCTGGAGAGATGGATTATAATCAGTTTCCCTCACCCAGCATGGGACTCATCCTCTCGTCACTGCTGTTATTAGTTTGGTGGGGCTTTTTTGAGGGGGGGTGTGGGAGGGTGGCAACAACACATCTGAAACCCCACAGGTTACTCAGCCATTGCTACTGCTGGGGGGATGCCAAGAGCCTGGAATGCCAGAAAGTCTGGAATGCCAGAAAGCCCATTCCGATGCCTACACCTGCAACCAGGCTGCACTCCATCGGGCCTGGGTGACTATTTTCACTTCAGCTGCAATACAGACAGGAAATGTTGACACTGACAGAGAAGAGATGGTTTACATAACGGGTCGTGCTTTCTCCCAGTTTCCTTTCAACCCTTACATGACACTGCTGCTCCACTCTCTAATCCCTTGTTCAAACATGCAATTAAAGAGCAGCCACACCCTTGCCAGCTCTTCCTTAGTAAGCAGCACCTCAGGAGAGCAATTACAACCACTCCGGGAATTTACTTGCAGGGTTTGGAATCACTGTGTGTGTGTTTTCACTTTTCTCAGTCTGTTTTCCTGAGGAATTCCCTGCTCTGGAGAAGTCGGTGTCTCTGTGCCTACAAATGTTCTGATGTGGCATCTCCAGCTTGATATGAACCATTGGGCCTGACATTCAGTCCAGAATCCCTTGGTCAGTAAAACCATCAAGGATTGTACATTGACACTTCAATATCACCCTTCAACCAAACTGCTTTGGGAAGTGAAAAGGGATCAGCAAAACCTAAGGAACACTGAATGTAGCCCAAAGCAGAACAAAATATGGAATTGCCACTGAACAGCAGTTTAATACATAGAGAAAACACTCCAACAGAACATCTGGCACAGGGCTGAAACTAAGAAAATACAAGACAGAATTATCCAGTTCCTGATCTGGCCAGGAGACAGCATCCATTGGTTTTAGGCAGCAGACAGGAATCCTGACAGGACTAAAATCTTGTTAGAAAAATGGATGTTCTTTGGTTGTTTGGTTTGTGTTAAAGAGGATCAGATGATCAACTCTTTCCTGAATGCTCAATTTTACAGCAGAAGCCAGGTATTGGCCTTAAATTACCAGATAAAATATTTAGTCCTTATTCACACAGTGATAACTGTTCTGCAATAATTGTCTTTACTTCAACAATCTAGTCAGCACTTCCTCAGTGCTCTTTGAGTTTTCCTTCTTGTCCTTCCAGATTTCAAACATCAAATATTTCCAGAGGGAATCAGAAATTCATGGCTTTTGGAAGGTTTCCCTAAACTCTCCGAGACATGAAGAGGAGCAATGAAGGTACCAAGTTTTGCTGTGCACCTTTGCTTTCTGGATGATGGGGACACTACAGTCTGACAATTAAAGCAGCTGGGATGGAGCAGGAGGTTATTCTGTAGTGTTTCTGACAAACTGTTCTAGAGGAAAAAAATGTCTCACTTTACACCAAAAGGAAAATAAAAACAATCCAAAACTGCTCATGTCTAAGTCAGTGAAATGGATTTCTGCTTTAAATGCAAATGGCTTTTTCTTTTGAAGCATTGCTTAGGCACACATGGCTTTTAAATAGAATATTGCCAGCAGCTCCTGCACAACCCCCCCCAGACCCACTCTGCAAAGTGGTGCTCGGCTCCAGCGCCTGTGTGAAGACTCCTTCTGCCTGGAAAAGGCAAGCCTGTACTGAGCACACTGACTCACGGACTGCCTCTTTTTTTATCGCCTCTATTTCCATAATCCAGAAGACACAGTGGGCCCTGTCAGGCATTTAGCAAGATCTTGCCCTCAGGGTTGTGATCCAACGGTGATGGGTGCAGGAGTGACTCAGCCGGCTGGAAAGTGCCGCGGTAACCCCAGCCC